GGCCAAACCACCCCCTCATTGGAGCACTTAGAGCGCGCAATGCATTATGGATAGAGATGCTCTCAAAACAAAATGGCGGCCCGTTTAGAGCATAAGGTTCGAGCGAAGTTAATGACCTGCAAATTGTCTATTAATTCCGAGTCCGAAGAAGAGGAATTTATTTTGCAAAACCTATTTAAAGAACTCGACTCTCTCACGGAGGGAATTATTGAGAAACAGAAGAATTCTACGTTGAAAGAATACCATGTGCTAGTTGATTTGTGGCCAATGGCAAAGCGGACGCTCTCAAGCCTACACCAAGCTATCATTAAAAGACTGAGGTCAACTCCTTCATTATCTACCCCATGGCGTTCATTTTTCCAGAAAGATGTTCCCGTTGAGGTGTTTAATATCATCTTGAAGATATTCAAGCGAAATGGATTTGGTCACGAAACGAGTGAAACCAAGGCTAAAGTGAACATTTCTATCTATGATTTGCGAAAAGCTGTTTACTTATTTAATTATATGAACAAAGATGGAGTTATTATAGACAAGTGTATGCTGTTGAGAAAGAACTTCAAGGACRGAGAATGTGCTTCAGTTGTATTGTCGAGAGACAAACCTTTCGACATAAAGTACAACAAGAACAGTGAAGTTTTGTCAATATCATTCTCATATGGTTTTTGGAATCGCAATGGCATTCCCCAACACTAAAAAGTACTGTACATTTTATACCCAGATACTTCGTTTGAATTTCACGTTGCTTTATTCTATCAGCATTCCTTGTTTTTATTCAGAATTATCATACTCTACACAGTGAGAGAATTGAACACTGAAAAAGTAAATATTATACAAAACTTTCTTTATTCACAAAACCTTAGCCAACATGTTTTCAAATATTAGATAATTCTCAATGAACTGCCACTTTTCACAAATCTGTTTGGAACATCTTAACTGAAAAAATATATTTGGTTGTAAAAGCTGTTATTTTTCTTGTTTCTTGTTTTGTTTTGTAAGTTTATTTTCTTTTGTTTTCGTTTTTGTTTGTTGTTTGTTGTTGTTATATTAAATATGAAAAGCTATGAAACTGTCCAGAGATTTTAGAGTGCATTTAGTCAAACTGTGAAATAGTTGATGTTACCTAAAATTAGATAACTATTTTACTATTTTAGCTTACGTCACATAAATTTGAATTTAGCAGCATAAATTTATTTAATTAGTTAGCTATTTAAGTGACGTCACCTAAAATAGTAAAATAGTTATCTAATTTAGGTAACGTCAACTATTTCACAGTTTGACTAAATGCACTCTATAGGGCTGATTGACAAATTTCTTTATCTGAGGACTAATAGCAGTTTCTTTGAAAGCTGCTTTATTACACTGATAGCTAATCAGAAAGCTATCGAAGCTGTCCAGGCATTTCAGGTGTCTGAAAAACTGCGCCTACTATTTCTTCCCATTTGCTAATGGGGGCAGATCAACAAATGTCTTTATCTGAGGACTGATTTTTCCAGAAACAGCAGTTCCTTTGATAGCTATCAAAAGATCACTTGTGCAGATTCTGCATCCTTCATCAGCTGCTTCTTTTGGCATGCCACAGTAACACATTGCTTTGTCACTCTCTTGGACCTTCTTAGGTATAAAGGATTCTGTACGATTCTCTTCATATGTTGTACTGAAGGKATTCATCTCCCTTAGCCATATCTGGCACACAAATTCATGTCGGAATACAATCCACCATCTTAGATGTTTTTGGACATTGCATGTGTTTTCAGTGTACTTGGCGAGCTGTATGTGTTTTGCCTCTCGGCCTTGCATCGAATTCAGGCCTAGACCATAGCCAAGCTCGTCAAATAACTGATTGGTGTGTTGAGGTATTGCATACCCAATTGTCCAAATGGTTGGGTTGACTTTAGCTAGCAGTTGGGAATAAGTGTTGAAATAATGTTGACAAAGAGTCTTCAAGTCATCAACTTGAGACCTAGAATAAAGCAAATGCAATAAATTCAGTTGATAATTTTGGGGTGATAGCTCTTAAACTATACAAAGCACTAAGTAAATGGTGCCAAATAGCACTATTTGAACATGATTTAGTACTATGTTTCTAAGGTTTAGTGGTAATTTTAGTGCATTTGCAGGGTTTAAGTGCAACCACCTAGAATACTTTTGTTGCAAGACCAACACTATCTATTACCATCAATATTGATATTATGAGGGTCCCAGAGAAACCAACGTTTCCGAAAAGTTCTACAATTTTGTTTACCCTCCGAAATGCCGAACCAAAAAAAGGGGTTTGCATTCTGGGCTCTGGGATGCGAATATTTTCAAAATGGACCAAAACACAATTATCATAGAGTCGTTTTAGTAAAATATGAAACAAAAAGTGTACTGTTTGCTCCTGTGGGGGGTGGGGCTGCACCGTCGCTGGCCCCATGCATCCCAAAGCTACAGTCCTTATTTTCTTTTGTAAATTTATCACATATTTGAGAATGTATGTCTATTCACTTATTTTACTTATGAATACCTGTCAAGTTCAACTCTTGAATAAATGGAGGCAGCATCTCTGAGCTGTAATCCAATGAATGCTAGGCAATGGATTTGTAACACTGACCCCTTTGATAAGGTAGGAAATGCTAAGACTTCATGAACCATTGAACTGAAGTGCCACGAAAACCTGAAATACAAATAGAAACTAGCGAGTGAACTAGTAAGGGCTGCATCGGCATGTGGCCATACAATAAGAAGTGAAATGAAATATATAACACCATATAAAACAAGAACTTATTTCACTGATGTTTCAAGCCTTAGCTCTTCGTAGGAGTGCTAATACTTGAAACAACAATGAAATAAATTTTATTCACATGAAAACCTTTTAGATTCCAGCCCTGTGAATCTGTAGGAGAAGGTAAGCCCCTTTGTTCTCTTCTCATTGAACCATCGCTCAAAACTCTTGAAAAGTCTTGTGCAGTGTGCTGTATCTTTGACACATTTCATGAGTTTCATTAATGGTGTGTTATCTTGGATACCAGATAGTGATGCACTTGGAGGTACTTTAGTGTGTGCCATAGCAATAGTTAGTACATTATTGAACCACTGCTGCCACCCATTGTTTGTGTTATGTAGTGGTTCTGCTTTGATAATGCCAACATATTGTCCCAGTGGGGGTGTATGTTCTTGTCTGGATTTATTCTTTGAGATGAATTTGGTAACCTGATTTCTTTGTTTACCATCAGGATCCTTKAACTTTCTTTTGAACTTTTCAACCTCTTCAGCTGTTTTGATTCTTTCTTGATAATCCCATTCCTTCCATGTGGCATTAGAACCACCTATTGAACCACCAATGATATTTTTGTTATCTTGGTGGACATTTGCAAATGGTGAGAAATAGTAGGCGCAGTTATTCAGTTCACCTGACATAACTGAAGCCCATTTCATATCGCATGGGATCAATTTAAACTGAAAGACAATTTTATGGCCATTATCAGTTTCTAAAACTTTGCCTTCAATGTCCTTCATTTCCTCCTTCAAATGCTTTGTGTATTGTAACATCAAGGGGTGGTCTTCAGCAACATTTGCACCCATTAACAGGTGATTCTCATGACAGCTTTGAACTCTCTTCAGCAAATTTAGAATGCTAACTAAGTATGCTACAAGAAAGGAAAGAAGGAAAATAAAATCAATATCACATAACAGTGTACTTTAAATATGTTTCATCTTTCATTCAATTAATGTTTTCATGTGTTTTATACTGATTTTCAAAATCTCATCAATTGAGTCATAAAGAATTGACAAAAGAAATGATGAACTGTGACAGGTATTTTAAACTCTGATAAACATTCATTCCTAATTTACATAATAAATACAAAATATTTTCATCTATGTTATGTAAATTAGGAATGAAACTTTATCAGAGTTGTTTAAAATACCTGTCACAGTCATTATTTTGTTTTGTCGATAAATGTTTATGAATCAGTTAATGAGTTTTTGAAAATCAGTATAAAACACAAGACAACATATTAATTGGATCAAAGATTCAATTATTTAGAGTTGTCTGCTTGCAATTGACTATCTGTAGATACCTGACTGTACATATATCTAATTAAATCTGTTTTTCATTTTATTTATTGCTATTAATACTCTACCAGTGGAAGTTTCGTTTTTCCCAAAGGGGGCGCCATCTGCACCTATAGCTATGTACATCACTCCGTGCTTTCCATTGAACCAATGTAGGCATGGGATTTTCTCATCTAGCTGTATGTATAAATCTGCAAGTCTTAGCAAAAATGGTTTCAATGGTCTGTACACCCCAGGGCTTGATTCAGTAGAGTATTGTTCAGCCAGTGTGTCCAGTGACTGCAGTTTACCAATATTTATAGTGGAGATATATGCCATGAGATCTTTATAGGGCAATATTTTGGGGATCTCACACCCTTTAATGAATTCAGTTTTCTGATTTTTTTTCCTTTTTTTCTCAGTTTCCTTTATGGTATCTGTACTGTTTCTAATACTGCTATACTTCCTTTTGCTAATGAGGCCACCTTGATACAATACTCTCATACTTCTAACCTTGTTTTGCATGCTTTTTTCATAACATTTAACTCTTTTCTTTATAATTGTTGGTATTACCTCCTCCGTGCACCTCGTTGATTTCTCAACATAAGTAGTTAAATCTTTTTTGCTGACATCTGATACAAGAGTTGTCCACATTCCAGCATATATTGGCTTGTTATCTTTTACTGAGAAAGGGGAACAGTGAATTGGACGCAGAGCATTGAGTGTTTTTCTTCTTCTTCTTCGAAACTGATGCCTTGAGAGGTTCAATTTGTCACTTGATGTTTTATCTAGAACACTGCTTAATCTTGGCCTCCTAGAAATCAACAAGATCAAAATATAAGTCAATCACTGCCAATGTTAAATTCTTATATTTACAAATCCAAACTAAATTCTCTCTCTAAAACCATAGGTAAAACAGTATCAGTAGCAGAAATGATTTTGCTTAGTCAATAAATAACAAAAAGAAAACACCATGGCTTGAGGGCTTAACCTACAATATTTTAAGTTTGCCTATTCTTTCACTGAGACGAAGGAATTCCTTCTCGTACACTGTATGTTACACAGTATGCACATAGTAACTCAAAAACTATTGTAGCACTTTACCTAGCTGCTAGTATTTATATGGTAATCACTCTAACTGAATGTTAATATGTAATAGTTTAATATTATGGCTTCAAGCAGATGAGATGAAAATGAGCCTTGATACATTGTATTAACCCCATATTCTTGCATGAATGATTCAAAAACAAAAGGATAATTTCATTGCGGGCTATGGTGTGTGTGATAACCCTCACATAAGGTAATAAACCAGTTTAAAAGGTAATTTTGTTTGGTCATTAGGGAATATTTGCATGCATTAATTAGGCCAATCCCTGTAAATTAGGGCATGGAKGAATTAAAACTCCAGTACAATTGTGGTTGTCACTATACTCTAAGATATCATTCAGCTAGATATCCTAATTAGCTGGTGCATGGAAATAGAGTGTTGAAATATAGACAAATATTTGTTCAAGCTTACTTGATCTTTTTCATTTCAGCTGAATTATCCTCCAAATCAGTTTTTAAGTCAGCAATCTGTTAAAGATATATTTAAGTCATGAACTTGTTTATTGAGACAAGTAATAATTCATAAAATAAGTTTTAAGCTTATAAACTGAAACTCACTTTTCTTTTCTTTCTTCTTAATTTTTCTTCGATATTATGAAGCTCTTCATTTCGTCTTTGCAGTTCGGCTTCTTTCTCGATTATACCAGCCTTCACCTGGTTGATTTTGATGTCAGTTTCGAGTTTTTTCTCAAGTTCTGCTTGCAGTCTCTCTTTTTTTAGTTGATTATAAGCCCCAAGTGGAAACCTTTGCTTCTTTGTACTCGTAGGTACCCTATGAAAGCCATGACAATTTGTTTTTAAAAAATCACGTAGCTCAACAAAAAGCACATAAAAAAGAAGATGGACAACCAAACTAAAATCGTATGATTTTCGGTTTTGGTTTAAGTATCGGTATAAAAAGCAATTTTAACACAAAAAAGTGATTACCTTGGGCTGTCTTTTGGAAAAGATTGCTCAAGAGAAGGAGCTCCTATCATCTTTTTCTTGCAAAAACAACGTGGCTAACCATGGCTCAAAATATATCATTCAAAAGCTTGTCTTCCATAGAATACATATCAGCCCGCCAAAGTCTACAAACTTGTACCTAGTCTTCTAAATTATTTTTTAAAAACCTCGGTTTTTCACCACACAGGACAACCATTATCATCCATGAATCTTTGCGAAACGAGAAGGGCCGCCATCTTGAAAAAAAT